TTTTTTTTTTTCTTTTCTTTTTTTCCCCTTCGCATGATAGACTACATAGTCTATCGAGTAGCGCCAGCTCTTTGTCTCCGCGACGTTCTTATTTTCCGTTTATCTAAGTTCTCTGTCTCCCCTGGAGTTACGTGATGTCGGCCCGGAGTTGAAATTTGGACTTGTTCATTTTGCATTGCCGTTGTTTCATATTTACCCGGCCATACTGCAGCGTAGCGCTGCCAGCATATGTTCAGTTTCTGAACGAGATGAATATATCTATCTGCATCTATCTTAAGTGTTTGTTTCTGTTGTCATACATGGGGTATCTTTAGTCGTATATGATGAGTATATCAGGCAGCTTCCACGTTCTTGTTACCCTTCCTTAATGATGGGAGGAAGAGCCCAGGGTGAAAAACTGTCAGGGCCAATACCGCAAGGGCAACCATCCTGTTGAGATTAGCAATCCGCATGGTTGGGAGAAATCCACGGGATACTCACATTCCATCCAGAACCAGAAACTCGTCCTCCTTTTGCATCAAGGGGTTTCCCCATCCACCTGCCATCTCCGGGATACTGCACATCACGTCAGTAAAAGCGATCCCCATCGTCCCTGAAAGACTTACCGATAGATACACCGAATCAGAACGGTAAAGTAAGCAAAGGTATCTGCGATAACCACCAGCTTGATATTGTTCCGTCCATTTGTAGCGTCCAGTGCCTTCTCTCCCGAGCCACGCCGAAGGTAACGGATGAAAAAGTCCAGTGCTAACAGTCCACAAACAGACATGGTCGCGACCTGGAACGCAATACCCGTGATGATAATATCATTTCCCGCATTGAGAAGATCCCGTTGATCACTCCCAGCAGCTGCTGCCACACCACCACCGGCAGCTTGTAAAATCAGAGACCCGATGTCACAGCCGATGAAAATCCAGGTGAACAATTTCGGTTTGAGGCGCGAGTGTTCCGGTCCCAGCGAAAGGATGATATGCTTCAGGGTGAGGTAGATGCCCGCAGCGATGAATGTTGGCCCTAAGATAATCGCCACAATTTGCAACTTAAATGCGCCGCCATCCCAAGGGTTCTTATTCATCAGTACACGACCGATATAGCCCGCCATCTCGAGAAGTGTGCCGACCACCAGTGCCACCATCAGCGTCCACGAGCGGAAGTAAATGCCGAACCCGAGTTGAAACACGCCGCAGAGGCCATAGAAGACCGTGAAGAAGATGTTGCCACCATAGTTGGGATAGTAACCGTATGTTGTAGCTTCGACGGGGCACAAGGGCGTGACTTCTGTACAGGTTTGGTAGCTGGCCATTTTGGTCAGGGTTTAAAAATTATCATATGTATATATAAGAAGAGTAAAGAAAAAGAGCCGGGAAAAGAACGACAGGCGCTAGGAACGAAAGAATATATGAATAGATTGAGGTGGCATCTGGTCGAACAAGATAAAGAATCAGGGAGAGAAGAGACTGTTGACACAACTCCATGGCTGGCGCCTCATATATATTTAATGTAATATTTTAGAGTCCCGTTTTCTTTTCCCCGATTGCCATGACTTGAGTGGATCCTATCGGCAAATTCCTGCTTCCCGTAAGGAGAATAATATGCTTTGGGATATCCAATTGGCTCGCATTCGCTCTCGCTCTCGCATTCGTTTTCGCAGACCCACTCTGTCTTCTAATTTTTGATCGCGGGCCCTAACTGATTCGTTGATCCGTAAGCTCGATGGGCTATGTTGCTCAAAGGAACACCGAGATTTGACACCAGGCTGACACATTTGCTTATATTTGTAAGCCATGCTTACTGTCCAAGACCTCTGGTAAACCTCTATACACACGTAGTGAAGTCACAATCCAAAGAGATAAAGGCGTTGTACTGTATGTACAGTATACAGAGTACGTAGTGCATCCTGAACGAGACAATGTATGTACTATGGAGTAGCGGCCGCAGTGGGGAGCCAAGACCCCGCTGCGTCATGGCCTCATTCGGGCTTTGAATGAACAGTAAGTGTCCTTTCAGAAAAGGAGGACAGCAGTCTTTATCCTCATAACAAGATTTAATACCCAACAGCTCTGGCGGGAGCCACGTGACATCATTTAACTCCCACGGAAATTTTCCCCACGTGTCCCCACGTGTTCTTCCACGTGGTTCCCGGTCACAGGAAATCTCCTACTAGTGTCCAATGTACTTTATTCTCTTGTGGATCGACCATGCCACGTAGGGCCCATACGAAATCGCGCAATGGCTGTGATCAGTGCAAGAAGAGGAGAGTCAAGGTAGGTAATTTTCTCGGTTGATCCACCCGTGTACCCAATCCTACCATGATTCTTAACGGAACATACTTCCCACTCCTCCCCGGCGCTTTTCTCAATCCATATCCAATCATATCTCCACTATGATTAGCTAAAGAAACTTAAGCTCCAATTGGTCTTCTTTTTAGCATAAATATATACCCTCTCCTCCTAACATCATATAGTGCGACGAAAAGGGCCCGCCATGTTCAAATTGCGTCACCAGAGAACTTCGCTGCACTTACTTGAACACTCCCGCAGCACGCAGCATAGCCATTTCTTCATCTGCAAGTCCGAACTCCATACATCCCGGACAGGGCCAGACCTCGGATGGAGCCGGTCATCCCTTCGCTGGTGCAGCTGCTAACGTTCCATTTACCTATTCTCGCAAGCGGGAACTAGAGCTGATACATAAATTCTCCACTGATACATATCAGAGCTTTTGCAATAAAGAATCAGACCACTATGTATGGCAAATTATCATGCCACGCAAAGCTCTGGAGCATGACTTTCTCATGAGTGGAATCCTAGCAGTAGCCTCCCTGCATATGGCCTCGGCTTTAGAACCACCAGAAGCTTTGTCATATATTGATACGGCCCTGGAATATCATAACCAGGGGCTTGCACCCTTCCGACACGCAATTACCAATCTAACCCCACTCAACTGTGACGCTGTATTTGCCCATTCCGTCATCACCATCATGATCTGCATCGCTCTTCCCCGTTTACCAGGCTCCAGAGGTGAAAACTCTAGCCTGACCGAGAACCTCATATTTGTATTCGAGTTACTAAAAGGCGTGGCCAAGATTTTCGCGATCACGCGGTCCTGGCTGGAAAATAACCTATTTGCTTCGAAGAACGGTTTCTTTGAGAAATCTGGAACCCCGCTGGATGCTGGAACTGAGGCTGCTTTAACCCGTCTAGCCGATCTAAACGATACACTCCTGTCCAGCATCGAGCCAGACCAACATAGCATCATCAAAGATGCCATCTCTCATCTTCGTCGCTGCTTTGCTCGCTACAATCATGAACAAGATGCAGCGTCCGTCTTGTCTTGGCTTGCTGGCGTCGATAAGGAGTTTGTTCATGTCGTTTGTCGTCGCCAGCCGCTTGCTTTGCTTGTTCTTATGCATTGGGGTGTTTTACTCGCCGAGCTTGATGGAAAGACATGGTGGGCTCGGAAGTCCGGCTCCGCCCTTGTTTCCGAGATATTGGTTGCACTGCAGGCGGGTGATGCCCGGTGGGAGGAGGCGGTGTTATGGCCGAAACAGAAACTGGGTCTTTAAGGGGGGCCGCCAGGTACGGGCCAAAAGCTATTTTCTCCTTTCTTGGAATGGGTAGCAGTGCTCACTTTGGCTGACTATCCCATGGCAACTGCATTGGTGGCAAAGACACACTTCACCTGGTAGAATCTCTTGGGTTTATTCCTTCGCAGCTGGATTGTATACAGAGAGCCCCATCCTTCTCGTCATCAGAGGGCTTCTTGAACTAAAGCACGAGGCTGAAACTCCACCCCTAGAATCTCGAGCCTAGCAACATGGCAGAACAGAGATCCACAATGAACTATAAACCATGAATTAGCTAACACTAGTCATCATTCATTGAATATCCAGGAGTGATTACAATAAAGGGACGGCCTGCAATGACGCCAGACTGATGCACGTATCGGCGGCATTAGTAATTGCTGGCCCGTATCACCTATATATGAACCTAGTTCGATGCCTGAAACTATTTCAAGTTCAGTCTAAGCTGTTCATCTCCCTTAATTCCGTGTGTTTGGATTCTGAACGATGCATGGTGTAGAGGTCACAGTTATATGGACACCTTGCCTTAACTGCCATATTGGGTGGATGAGTCCCGGTCGATTCTGTCCCTTATTACGGTCCTCTCAGAGTCGAAACTAAAAAGCAAAAGAGTCTGCAGAGAAGCAGAGGCAATGGGGAAATAATTATCGTTTTGATGGAACCAAGACAGGGAAATGCCGGTCTACGGTGTGTGATGCGCATAATTCTAAGTTGCTCGGAATTAAATCCGACGTCTAAAGCTTGAACTAAAGCGGAGATTGAGCGAGCCGTAGCCTTTGAAGGTATAATACCTATTGCGTGATGGTTAGAGCCTTTCCTCTATAGCCCAAATGCACGAGGATTCCTTCTCAAGCTCATGTCCGCTAAGGGATGTTCGAGGCGAGGCGGTGGGGAGAGTCCTGGAAGCTTAGCCTTTAGGGTTGAAGATCCGCCTCCGCGTCCCGGTTAATCTTAACCGTAGCGGACACCTGCTCTCTTGGCAGTGGGGGAAGTGCTGCGGAGTTGATGCGATGATAAGGAACCCTCATCGTATTTAAACACCTTCGTTTGACACAATTCTACTCAAAACAGACACACATCTTGACTCTTTGAGACAGAGCAAATACTGCACTCGGACAACTTGTTTTAGATATTGTCCGCTGTTGCTGCGTTGAATATTTGAATCCAAGCACAATGACTCTGTCAATACACCCATTCGATCCTCTGACACCCAGAGAGATCTCCAAGGTAGGCTTTTCCTATTACTTAGAAGATCGCTGTTGACCGAGAGCAGGCCGCAGACATCACACGCTCTACATTACCTGGAGAGAGCCCCATCTTTCGTGTGATAACACTAAGGGAACCCCCCAAGCAAGACATGATTCACTTTCTAGAAAAGGAACACTCTGGGCAGCCGCTAGATGCACGCCCAACTCGGGTAGCTCGCGTACAAGTGGTTATTCACAGCGAATCGAAGAACAAACTAATTGAGCTGCTGATCGATCTTGACCATGCGGCCGTTATCAAAGAAGAACATCTCGCAGGGAAGCATTCTTACATTGACTCTGAATACATGAAGTCAGTTGAGCAAGCCTGCTTAGCCGATGCAAGAATTCAAGAGGAGATCAAGAAGCTCAAGCTGCCCACAGGAGCAACAGTCATTGTCGAACCTTGGGCGTACGCTACCGACGGTACGAACGACATGTCCGAGCGTTTAACGATGGTGAATATACTGCCTTTATAGTTAATGCCTGACTAAAATTTCGAGAACTGACAACTTCATGTAATAGTGTTGGTTCTATATGCGCTTGCTTCACAATCCTGATGCCAACTACTACGCCTACCCGCTGGATCTATGCGCAGAAGTCTCCGAACAACTTCAGGTGATCAAGATATACCAGCTTCCATCATCGTCAGACGAGCGTATCCACGACCACCCACAGCCATATGACCAACGCAAGATTCATTCCACCGAGGCAAGCGAATACCACCCAAGCCTGCGACCACCACCGCGCACAACCACCAAACCATACCAGGTGGTCCAGCCCGAAGGTCCCTCATTCAACGTCGAGGGTAACGTTGTGACCTGGGAGAAATGGCGCATGCATGTAGGGTTCAACTACCGCGAAGGCTTGACCCTGCATGATATTCGCTATGGCGGCCGTAGTCTCTTCTACCGTCTATCTCTAGCTGAAATGTTCGTACCCTACGGAGACCCCCGCGCCCCATATCCTCGCAAGGCAGCTTTCGATCTAGGAAACGACGGTGCCGGCATCAACGCCAACAACTTGCGTCTGGGCTGTGATTGCCTAGGCCTAATCAAATATTTCGACGGCTGGCACAACACCAACTCAGGAGTACCACTGAAACTCCCCAACGTCATCTGCTGCCACGAACAAGACGATGGGATCCTCTGGAAACACACCAACTTCCGCACCCAGAACGCAGTAGTCACCCGCGCCCGCGTCTTAGTCCTCCAAACTATCATCACAGTCAGCAATTACGAATACATCTTCGCCTTCTACTTCGGCCAAGATGCCTCAATTCACTACGAAGTCCGCGCCACGGGTATCCTCTCCACCTGCCCCATCAACATCGCCGACAAAGTCTCCTACGGCACCATCGTCGCCCCAGGCGTCCTAGCCCCATACCACCAACACCTCTTCTGCCTCCGTATAGACCCGGCCCTAAACGGCCACTCCAACTCCCTCCAAGTCGAAGAATCAATCCCCATGCCCCTAACCGACCCCTCAACTCCCAATCCCTTCGGGATAGGCTACACAACAACCCACCAAACAATCGAACACGAATCAGGCCACGACCTCGACTTCACAAAAAATCGCACCTTCAAAATCATCAACGAACACTCCATAAACCCAATTACAGGTACCCCAATCGCCTTCAAACTCCTCCCCTGCTACTCCCAAATGCTTCTCGCAGACCCGACCTCCTACCACGCTAAACGATCCGAGTTCGCCTCCCACGCCGTCTGGGTCACCCGCTACAACGACGATGAATTCTTCCCTGCGGGCAGACATACCATGCAATCTGCCGGCGGCGAGGGAATTGCGTCTGCCATTGAATCCCGCCGTAGGCAGTCTAGTTCAGATTCGAGTGTCCGTAATCAGGATATTGTGGTCTGGCATACCTTCGGGTCTACCCATAACCCCCGCATTGAGGACTGGCCTGTCATGCCTGTGGATAAGATGGTGGTTGGTTTGAAGCCGGTGAACTTCTTTACGGGGAACCCGGCGTTGGATGTGGCTGTTTCGACACAGGAGCGGAATAAGAGTGTTCTTTTTGAGGAGGGTGGGAAGGCTTCGGGTAGGGGAGCTGGGTGTTGTAAATTGTAGAATCTTCTATCTTTTTGTATGGAGAGTGCGTCGAGAGTGTGTATTGTGGGGTGGTTTTGGTGGGTTAGATAAATGGTTATAGTGCTTTATTGTGAAACTTTGATCGGTTTTTGTTTTGACCTGGTTTCCCGGTTTGGCTTTGTTTGAGTTCTCGAGTATAGCTAGGGATTTATATCGGTTTCAGGTATGAGGGTTCTTTATTATTGGTATTCCCGAGTATATCAAGGGGCTTTGGGCAATTCACAATATAACCACAGAAAACGTAATGCATCAACAGCTTCATTGCAAATATACATCCAACTATAGTGTCATGATATGTACTACGTAACATCAGTCAAGACAATAGAAGAACAATCTAACTGCCACGGTCTATGGTGGGACTAAGAGCTCTTGTTCCCTCCGCCTCCGCACCAGCATCGTCCGTCACCTTCCCGCTCTACTTGGACCAGGATATCCATGCCCTTTTCTCGGAGGAAATCGACGGTCCGTTGGCGCACGTCTTCGAGGTCGGAGCCGCGGGACGCGATTACATGGATTACGCCCAGAACATTGGAGTTGGCCTTTTCGTGTGCGTGATCATGGTCGTGGCTGTGAGGGTGGGAATGAGAGTGAGAGTGAGAGTGAGAGTGAGAGTGAGAGTGAGAGTGAGAATGGGAGTGAGAATGGGAGTGAGAATGGGAGTGCGAGTGGTTGTGCCCATGGCCATGGTCGTGATCGTGATCGTGATCGTGCTGGCTATGGCTATGGCTGTGGCTGTGACCGTGACCGTGACTATGGCCATGGCTACAGCCGTGATCGTGATCTGATTTTGCCGTATCGTCGAGCCAGAACTTGGGAACTGTGTACCCTACAACACCTCGTAAGGTGCTCACGCCAGCTAGCGCCTCGCGGACATTGTACTCGACGTCGGCCGGAAGGGTGAGGAGCAATTTCTTGGCCGTGCTGCTGACTAGCGGCACTGCAGAGGCAAAAATCAAGATAGCAATCATGCAGGACGCAATGGGATCGTACCCTGACCAGCCAGAGTAGTGTACGAGAATCGTCGATATCACAACGGCGACGGAACCAAGGGTGTCAGCGAGAATGTGGAGAAAGATCCCGTGCATGTTCTCATTGTCATGTGAATGATCATGGCCATGGTCATGTCCGTGATGCGCATGGTCAAACGCCATGATACCCACAAGATTCACGGCGAGTCCGGCAGCACTAACTACCAAGAGCTCTCCGATACGGTGCATCTGGCTGCCCGATGATAGCCTTTCCACCGCTTCGTAGATGATCTCGATACTGATGATCCTAGAGACAAAATCAGCGATAAAATCTGATAATGAGCGGGTGGCCACTCACATGAGGAAAATGCCGTTAGCAAACCCAGACAGTGTGTCTACTTTACCATATCCGTAAGGAAATCTTGCGCTGGGTGGCCATTTACTCATAACGGCGGCGCAGAGGCCAACAACAAGCGCGAGACAGTCAAAGAACATATGGATGCTATCACTGAGGAGTCCCAATGAACCTGTGATAAATCCGTAGGAGAGCTGAACGAGCATAAACGCAAAATTAAGACTAGCAAGGTTAGTCATAATGGAATATACGAGAAACAGCGGTCTTACGTCATAAAATAGAAGATCCGACGAGAGTCACTCTCTTTAAGAATGCTGTACAGTAGTGGATATGGTTCACTATAGCGGATGATGAGCTTCGTGATGTGCGACGCATCATCATTAGAGTGAGCGTGGTGATGGTGATGATGATTGTGGGCTTGCATCACCGAGCGCAACTGTCTATCATCAAACCTAGAGGCGAGAACCGCGATCCCAGCAAGGATCCCCTGGAAGACAAAAGCCACATAAACACCGTCGCGCGGTGGTGGTGCGCATAGCAGGGCGGCGCCACCAGTTGCAATGGCAAGACCAATCTTGTGCGGCGAGCGTAAGTTTGCCGGTGCCACATACATTAAGCATGCTGCAAAACCACCGGCAGCTGCGAATATATACATCATATCCGCAAATTGGAAAGATAAGCCCCCGACAACAGCCGTGCCAACTGCTAGGAGCAACCCAAGAAGAGCAATAAGCATGGGGTCGCTAGGCGAAACACTAAACGATTCCGTTCTTGAATGTTTCTCCTGGGATACTACTGGGTCATAGGCAGGGTCAAGTGTGAAGACCAAGAAAGGCGGGCGAAAAACAAAAACCGAGACAAGCAATGATACATAGCCCAAAAAGGGCTCTGCGTCCCAAGAGGTATTCATTCCCAAGAAGCTCAACACGACCACAGTCGCGATGATACCGATTGTCAGTTTCTTTTGACTCAGCCGTCCTTTGCTATCTTGGGGGTCATAGCCTCGTGCAATTGTCGGTACCCCGGATGCTATTGCCAGAGCAAGTACAAATGCGACAAGAAATCCCCCTACCTTGAGCGCCGCATAGATAGGTAGTGCAATTGAGCACATTTGCACAAACGAAGCAGTAACAGTTTTCGAATGGAGTTTGGGTAATGCGATTAGTGAATCACTTCTATCCCGTTGGGCTATTCGAAGTAGCTGCCCTCCTCCTAATATGATCATTGTTACGGCGGTCAAGATACATGTCCTCAACGGAATTTGATCTAAATGCCCTATGCGTGAAGATGCGGTATTTTCATCATCAGTTGCCAGTTGCGAATCCGACCATTGTGCATGGTGTATATAATACCACGAAATGGCAATCCATGGCATAGCCATCAGGGCTCCGGCGAGCATTTCATGACTAAACGGCCGTTAACAGGCGATACCAACACAGGATATGAACGTACTCACTTCCTCAATGACTGGGGATTTGACAAAGTGATAGGCGTATCTGGTACCAGCCCCGTTACGCTACCAGAATGGCTATGTTTCGATGTGTGTGAGTGACGACCATTGGCGTGGTCGGACTTGCCCCACGGTTCGCCATGACTTGAAGAGTGTGAGTGTGAATGTTGGTGTCCATGCCACGAGCTCGATGCATTCCCGTTGACGTATGTCGGTCCAGTCAATGGCTGCGACTGTTGAGTAGAAGCTGCATCAGAGGCAGAATAGGAGATCGGCCCCTGCGACCAGCGTTTGGAGCGTGAATGACCACGACTAGGAGTGGGCTTATAATGTCCCTGTGTCGATAATGTGGGAGCAATTGTATCCACACTGGACACAGGAGCGCCCGTTGACATGGTCTCGGTGTGCGACACCTGATTCGCAGAGAATCGGTTCAGCGACGATCAAGCAGACAGGAGGCGGAGAGGTCGAGGAGGCGGAGGAGAGCAATCAAGGAATGGGGGTGTTAGGGGAGCTTTAGCAGCTCAAAAAAGATATCCAACCGGTCGATTGAGGCAAGGGACACGGCATAGCGCCAGGGATAACAAGCAGACTTGATGCAGAAACAAGCTTGGTGAACAATGGGAGTGGCAATGGGGGACCTCCAGATGCGATCTGCAGGCGATAACAACGGGCCACGTGATCGTGCTCCCTCGGTTTGTTATCTCCGCACCTCCAGATCAAGAATTACTCTGTACTGACATAGAATTTTTATGAAGAAAACAGAAATATAAAATTAAAATAAATCAACTACGTACTAGTACAATGTCCAGGTTCAACTTGAAGTGGGAACCTCAATCCAGTCATTATCCAATAAGAAACTGTGCTGCTGATCCCCAATCTGGTAATCAACTGCATTGCAGGTCCATAATCTCTTGCCCTTGCAGCATAGCCGCGCGGTTGATCTGATGGAGTGTGGGGGGGGGGGAAGAGGACCGGGCCATGTTTACTCCGTCTAGCAACCGATCGTCATCCTGCACCACCTTTACAGGATCAGAGCTCCTGCTGATCTTCCAAACACCTCACCGGCATACAGTGAAAACCCTCCATGGTCTCAAGATAGTCAATTGACCTCTCTTGCATTATGATTGATATTCAATTTGTCTAATTCCCCCTATCCTTTAACCGCTCACCATGATTGAGTCCTTCATCAGCTTCGCTTTCTACATCTCCACCGCAGTCACCCTCTTCATACTTCTACTACCCTCACAATATGCGCCGAAACGCTCGACAGCACAGGATGCCTCTACTGATCCCAAAACAACCGTACAGATCCTCGTCCTCGGAGATATCGGTCGCAGTCCGCGCATGCAGTATCATGCGCTGAGCATTGCCAAAGGGGGAGGTCAAGTAGAAATCATTGGTTATCATGGTATGGAGGGATTCCCCATCATAATCACCTACTTCACAAACGTTCTAACCCTCACCCATAGAGTCAGAAGTTCATCCCGATATCTCTTCCGACCCCAGAATCTCAATCGTTGCACTTCCCCCACACCCAGCCTGTCTTCAAACCAGCAACAAGCTTCTTTTCCTAGTATTTGGTCCGTTGAAGGTCCTCTTCCAGGTTGCATGTTTGTGGTGGTCACTAGCCTATCGCACGCGACCAGTGAAGTGGCTCCTTGTTCAGGTTGGTCCTCGACGTCGCATAACTTTCAACACAACCCACGCTTACCAGAGGCTCATATCGCATAGAACCCTCCATCTATTCCAACTCTAGCGGTCGCATCCGTAACCTGCTTTCTTCGTCAAACGAGCCTTATAATCGATTGGCATAATTTCGGCTACTCCATCCTGGCGTTAAAACTTGGAGATGGTCATCTGTTGGTCAAACTGTCGAAATGGTATGAGAAGTTTTTCGGGAAATACGCCACGGCACATTTGTGCGTCACAACAGTCATGGCGTCTGTTCTGAAGAAAGAGTTCCTACTGGAGGCACCTATCCTACCGCTGCATGATCGACCAGCCAACCATTTCCGACCTATACTCGATGATAACGTTCGACAGGAGTTTCTCTCATCCTTGCCGGCAGCTGCTTCCGTACGACCATTGATCAAGTCCGGGCCCCTTCGTGTTCTAGTTAGTTCAACGTCATGGACTGCGGACGAGGACTTTTCGTTGCTTATCGATGCCCTCTGTCGATACTCGGAGTTAGCAGCGACGACCATGCCGGAACTGCCCCAGGTGCTAGCCATCATAACGGGCAAGGGCCCACAGAAGGAAATGTATATCAAGCAAATCGCCGACCTGGAGAAAGCAGGGAAACTCCAAAAAGTGACGATACGCACGGCTTGGCTGACCACCTCGGACTATGCACAACTCCTGGCGTCCGCGTCACTCGGCGTTAGTCTACACACAAGCAGTAGTGGTGTCGATCTGCCTATGAAGGTGGTTGATATGTTTGGCGCTGGTCTGCCAGTGGTTGGCTGGGACCGCTTCGAGGCGTGGCCGGAATTAGTCACTGAAGGTGTTAACGGAAGAGGATTTGGGAGCTCCAATGAACTCGTAGAGGAGCTTGTTGACCTCTTTGGAGACACAAGTAAGCTTGACAAACTGCGCGTCGGAGCGCAGAAGGAAAGCACTCGTCGCTGGGATGACGAATGGAATCCAGTAGCCGGAAAGCTTCTAGGGCTGGTATAAACAGTAGTCTGTACAATAGAAACACAAGTATAGAGAAACAAGTATAGAGAGAAAAAAAAGAAAGACAATTTTACTGCTAGGCTTGGAATTTGCCGCTGCAGTATATACAGGTGTCGAATGCGTCCGACAGGGTTCGACAGGTATGTTCAAGTTCATCATGCACAAGGTCCTCACTGAGATATTCTGTTCCACAGCGCGAGCAGAATTTCGAAAGGCCCGGCTCTTGAATAGCCAGAAATGTCACACCGCACCGCACTATCGCTGGCAGTTAGCGCTTGTATCATCACAAGTCACGATCTCAATTGAGCAGTTACGTACCAAACAAATGGCCAGCCGCACACTGAGCTTCCGCGGCGGAGTACCAAGAGAGCCCTGCATCGCATATAGCACATTGTTCGAAGATCTGTTGGCCTGAAACCTCTAGCTGCTCTGCAGTTTTTGCGTCTATCGTACTGCCTGGCACCGAGCATTTAGCTATCTCATCAGACAGATCAACATCTACACTTGATGCTAGCCACTCCAGAGCATTTCGAGCCTGAGACAATATCGTGTCGTTCTGAGAGTCCACAATGGCGCAGCAAGCTGCTGCATAGAGCATTTTCCGACTCAATGTCAGTCTGCTATAGTCGCCATCTTCAACGAAGAGAATATATCCCAAAGTAGCTTCTCTTTGTCTACGCAGGGCGTCCGGTGATCGATCTGGTAAGGGATAGGGGAAAGCCAGGTCATCAAATTCCGTAAGTTCTGCATTCGCGTGGGAGAAAACAAGCGTTGTTCGCTCTTCTGCAGAAGTCCGATATTCAACCGTGTCTCCTGGATGTAGTGTAAAAGCTGCCACAACAAGACCTTCATAGGACGCAAGACCCCAGGTTCTGCTGATGGTATATCCTCCAAGGTCACGGGCTATGTCAAACTGTTCGCGGACATTATCGAGTTGTTTCTTCCAAGGCGTTTCTGGGGGTCCATCGTTGCTTTCGATGCCAGAAAGTGTCACAGTCGCCGTGTATCCACCTACAGTGCCGAGATGAAGGATTGGTGTCTGCGATGCTTCGTCCAAAGCAACAGTCATGGCTGGTCTCCGTTAGCGACAGATACTCGTCGGGAGTAACCAAATCTCACCACTTGTCTGTTCCCAGTGCCTCAGGGAGTCAGTGCCTATGTCACTTCCAGTAGGCTCATAGAACGGTAGTTCTTTAACTTGGATACCCTTCTTTGCTGCTTTCTCCCCTTGATATGCTGCTCGAGTAAAGCGTAGTGCAATCATTCCAGCAAAGCTAGCTACGGCAAGACCAATTTCAGAGGATCCCTCCTGCATACCTATAAGTAAAAGTGGTCTCATTTCTTAGTGCAAACTTACTGTGTAAAGCCAATGCAGAGGCCCAGTCAAGTGATAACTGTTCAGGAGACCACCGTACGAAGATGTGTTCTCTTCAGAGACACATCGGGCCTTGTACTTCACTGGAGAACGTGTCTGGTCATTATCCGATATCAAGGTTATGACATGTTTGACCATCTTGAGCTGTGTCCCCAATGTGATAGCCACATTCCCAATCGCAGAACAAACCCCATTACTTTCTTTGGTTGGCTGATAGATCCATGGGCCAGGTGACATGAAAGACACCCTGGCGCGGTTCCTGAGGGCAGAGGAGAATATCGATCCTGGTTGAACATTTTGATTCTCTGTGTGCTCATGAAGTGAAGTAAGTGACAGGACTTCAAAAGAGTATAAGCTTATGGAAGTCGGGTCTGTGGATCTTCGAGCCTGCAAGAGAATCACATCATTGTCGTCATTGGTGACCGAGAGTAGGTGCATGCCCCAGCGGCTTTCAGGAGGTGACACTGCGTAGCTTGTGGCATGCTGTTCCGCAATCGGAACTTTGGGAGGCGGACACCACGTAAAAGAACGGATATTAGACTTCCGTAACCTGAGCTCTTCATCATCAAGGGATTTGAAGTACGAACTTAAACAGTCGTTGACGATAGCAACCCGTGTCCATCTCCCTTGAGGACTGATATCATAGAAAGATAGAAGCAGACCGGAAGTCAATACTGCCAAAATACAGCGCCTATACTTGGCAAGTCCTGGGGCTGACCAGGCCAAACCGACGACAGTGCTTATGGACTGCTCCGGCCCGATTGAAAAGTTTTCCCGCTTTTGTGGATGTATGATGGGCCATTCCCCGTTTGTGAAGACATTCGTGCGAATGCGTGTCACATTCCAATTTTTGGTTGCGGCTTGGGAACCAGATCCGTTTCCTCCCTCCCTCTCTGTTGTATGCTTCGGTGTCTGTCTGTCATTAGCTCTGTTTACTAAGACATGGTCATTATTCTTTACGGTGCTTTGCTTCATTGACAAGCAAGGTAGGATTCGATGCACTGACTAATATTTGGACATATTCCCCTGCCGCTACAGCAATTTCACCATCTGCGGACCATGATATGCAGTTGAAACAGGAAGGGAAAAGCTGTAGTTCTAATGGACCCAGCATCATAGCACCAAGGCGGTTCAAGGGTGATTGGTTGTATACACTAGGATATAACCTTCAGATATAGACTGTATAGACTGAAGCGTACTACGGGTTATTCATGTGACGCTTTAGGTTAAGCGCGTAGACATTTCGCGCGTCTTGGCAAGTGGCATGTTGTTTATCTATCACGTGGTGTTGCAACATCTACAAGTGCGTAACTAAAAGCGGCAATCCTGGAAAGCGCAGCTGCAAAGCAACTTGAAATAATCATCAATTTCGGGTCGCCTATATCCTATCTCGGTTCGCCTAAGTATACATATGCAGGTTTTGGCTGGCCAATCCTTTGTCCAGACCTATGCGGGTATAAAATCATCGCGGTTGTCGCTTTTCAAATCAGAAATAAAATCAAGAAAATGTCATATGCCGTTGCACAGGCCAAAACTACGGCATCACCCTAGTCAACCCGGTCCAGCTTCTGGACAACCATCGCACTAGCGGCGCCACCACCATTGCAAATTGCAGCCACACCATATTCACCGGGCTGCAGCTGGTGGAGAAGGGTGACCAGGATACGGGATCCTGAGCTTCCGAGTGCATGTCCCAGAGAAATAGCTCCTCCCAGAGGGTTGACACGGGCGTTCTGCAATCCAAGAATCTAGAAGCACGTTAGACTCAGTAATGGTCGTCTTTTATGTGGTGGGTACTAACCTTCTCATTTGCTTTGATAACGGCAGCAAATGCCTCATTAAACTCCCAGACGGCAACTTGATCCTTGGTGATACCAGCTCGCTCGAGGGCAATGGGAACTGCCTTAGCTGGGGCGACGGGGAAGTCCACGGGGTCAATAGCGGCATCCGCAGAAGACACGATACGCGCCAGAGCCCGGTTACCCTGGCCAAACTCGCGAGCCAAGTCCTTGCTAGCCAGAACCAGAGCTGACGCCCCATCGTTCATGGTGGAAGCATTTCCGGCAGTGACTGTGCCTGTGCCATCCCTTAAAAAGGCGGGCTTCAAGGCTTTCATCTTATCAATCCGCAGATTCTCATATCCTTCATCACGTTCGATAACGGTCTCGCCCTTCTTACCCTTGACAGTGACGGGGGCAATCTCATCGGCGAACTTATTCTCGCTCCAGGCCTTCTGGGCCCGCTGGTAAGACTGAATCGCATATTCATCCTGGTCTTCTCTCGAAATCTCGTACTTCTTGGCTGTCGTTTCGGCACAGATGCCCATATGGAACTTGTTATAAACATCCCACAGACCATCCTTGATTAGACCATCCTCCAATTTAATCTCTCCGAACGGTGGAAGCTGGCTGGAACGTGGGAGGTAGTAAGGGACACGAGACATATTCTCCATTCCTCCAGCAACTTGGGCGTCTGCCAGGCCAAGCTGGATATTCTGTGCAGCAAGTGCTACGGCCTTGAGACCCGATGCACACACTTTGTTTACCGTCATGGATTCCACAGTTGGCGACAAACCAGCGAAGATAGAAGCCTGGCGAGCCGGTGCCTGACCAACCGCTCCTTGGAGAACATTTCCCATGTATACATCGGTGATCTTCTCGACAGGGAGTCCGGACTTGGTCACAGCAGACTTGATGGCAACGGCGCCCAGCTCGGGGGCAGAGACTGAGGTGAACGACCCATTAAACTGTTATAAACGGTAAGTTTACATGTAAACGGCATAGGAAAGAGTGGAGGGTCGAACCTTAGCAGTTGGAGTTCGTGAAGCACTGAGGATATAGGCATCCTGGATCTCCTTGAGTGCCGGGGTTGCAGCGCTGAACTGTCTCTGCCACTGGCGAGATGCGGGGATAGCCGCCCTCTTAAAGAGACGAGTAGCTGAAGCTTGGATCGCCATTTTTCAATGCTAGTAGAATTAAAAAAAA